GAACGATTCAATGGAACTTTATAAGAACAATTGAGGAAAGTTGTGGACAAATATGAAAAATATTAGGATACACATATATGCTTGTTTCTGATGGCTTATCGGTCTGCTGTACATAAAACAACGGGGCAGACTCCAGCAAGGGTAATTTTTCGTAATGATCTTTGACTACCAATTGATTTGAAATTTGGAATTAACGCCAACGGAAGAAGGTTAAGGTATGCTCAGGAAGTCAGCAGCATCCTACAAAACGAAATGTGGGATATACAGGCTATGGTGAGATAGCGCACTAAAATTATTGTCGATAAAATGAAAGCAAAATACGACAAGGTAATGAACTGTGGGGCTTTTATTAAAGGCGACTTGGTATTGTTATATAACCCACAATGAAAGAAAGTACTGTCTTTCAAATTTTGCAACTGGGATTTTCCATTTAGGAAGGACCATACCAGGTTATTAAACGACTCAACGATGTAGTGTATCGCATACAGACTATTGAAAGACCAAGAAATAAAATGAGGGTAGGTCATCTGAAACGGCTTCCAGCGTTTGGTACCGCAAATATGTCTAATCGGGACGATCAGGCTTTAGTGGAGGGCAGTGTGGCGAACACGAATACCTGAATGGACGAAAATATCGAGAAATGTGCCGAAGGCGTAGCAAGAGGGGGGTGATAAAAGTCTAAAAAGCCGTGATATCAACTATTTTGGTGTTTGTAACACCCAGAACTAATCGAGATAGATATAGAGATATCGATATTAAATCCTGTTGAATGTCAGTACGTCCGTCCATCCATCGGCGCAAGCATAAGTAAAAATTTAGATATCTTGATGAAACTTGGTACACGTGTTTCTTATACTTGAAGGGAGATTGCTTTTGCAGATGGGCGTAATCGTTTAATTGCCACGACCACAACATGCCCTCTAAGTGAAAACATATAAAGCTTAGCTTGCGTACTAAGACACAAAACTGTAATTTGTTACAGGGCATCGTAGTAATACAAGGCACTATTTAAATGAAAATTTTTTAAAATATTAAGATTAATGTAAATATCTTACAAACCACTCCTCCCACTCCCCATATAAGAAAAAATAATAAAAGAACAACAACTAACTAATAAATTACGATTGAAGTATTAAATTGCATGTCCAATATGATACATAAGGACCTCGTAGGTGTCATCTTTAGAAAAAATCGTATACCTTAGGGACTACTAAAGCAATTGTATTCAAATTGGGTGCATAACATTATCCGAACATTGTTTGTAGTTTTTAAATTCGGTATTACCGAATCAATCCGTCAAAAAAAAATTCGGTTGAAGTGCCAGAGGGGTTGACTAGAATATCAAGAAATGTCCACGGCTACCAAGCAGTTGTAGTTGAATACTATTGTGTTTATTTTAGAAAAATCTTACTAGTAAATGGAAAAAGAGTAAACAAACTATTTTATATATGGCTAGATGAGTTACGCCCCCCCCCTCAACGCACAACGCTGAGCATAATCACACCACATCAACCTGATCCACTCATGAAGACACCACACACAAACACACACTCCTCATGCTGACATCACACACCACACAGATCACCCACACATACACACTACAACTCTACACTACCTAACAATCAACAAGCAAAACGGACTGCCCAAGAACCAGAGGGCTTCTTTCGTTTACATTGTTCGAGCCGTCACCACGTCGCAGCAACAGATTTCTTTTCGCCCGATTCCGGATACCGCCGGTGTTACCAAAATTTTTAACTATTTTCATTTTTATTAAATTATTAAATAAACTAAATTAAAGGACAGCTTTGTGGCCCATTGATTTTAATCGGTAAATGTTGAGTACTAAGGAGGAAAGAGTAATCAATATATATTTTTGAACTATTCTAACCAGTTATTTGGTACAAATACAAAAAAAATACCGAAAGTGAACAAACTACAATTTGAAAACAGTAAAAGGAAATTAGGGGATCGTGGGAAGTGTTTCGAACCTTAAAAATCAGTACGATCTACTACTCCTAGGAATATACTTTTTGAAAAATTTAATCAAATGATGCTCTTCTTCAGTCATTTGGGGTGTACACAATTCTGGTGTTCAGGATAAATAATTGATCAAGTGTATCAGAGAGTGCGGATGTGTATTTAATTCGTGAATGCTTAGACAAACCCGATCAAATACACAAAAACACAAACTAGTGATACAAAAATATATAAAAAGAGTACTTACAAAGTGTTAACCGAAACAAAAATAATAATAAAAATAAACATGAACAAATAATAAGTTAAAAAACAAACAAAAAAAGCACCTAACAAAAAAAAATAAAACGGGGAACGGTGCGTTCAGCTGCAGCAGAGAAGAATCGGAGCAGAGGATGCTCTCAGCAGTAAACAGCAATCGGCACCAACAAACCTGCAGGCACCAGTGAGCATGCAGGTATAAGCAAATGCGATACCAAACAAAGTGAAGGAAAAAATAAGCGAAGGTGGGAGTGTACCTAATAAATATGGAGCAGGTATTCAAATTGGTATTGACCGCTACGTAAACATTGAAAGGAAATCAATTCAAAATCCGATACCGAATCACTAACTGAGTATGGGCACTAAAAATCATATTGCAACCTTCGCAGCATCGTAAAGGGGGAGTAGAGAAAGAATCAGCTGATGAATGTAAACAATGCTACAGCTGAGAGGGGTCCATGGAGAAACGTCAAGTCCGCCTAGGGGTTGAGTTTCTATTGATAGCCAAGATGGCCGACTTTTAACCGGAAAATGGTTGCATCTTGCTATTTTCTTTTAATTTATGAAAAAGTTGTCCAAAAAATATTGGTTATATGTAAAACTTTAATATGTTTTCAAAATAAAATAAGTTTATTTTATTATATGTTCTTAAAGGAGTGGCTATTATTGGCAAATTTCAGAATCATTACGATATATATTTATGCCTTTTTTTAACTGTGGTAACTTAATAAATATTCACCACAGAAAAATGTAAGGTGCAATTAAGCAAC